CTATATGTATATATATCTATATATATATTTTGAAGGGTTTTTTTTAATTAAATTTTTATATAAAGGAAAAACATCCCTATCTTCCCAAACCTAAAAAGAGGTTAGGACTTGGGAATCATTAATACTAATTCAAGAACTTGCATTTAAAAATATTCATTTCTCTCTCAACAAGATTTCATTGATATGTCGGAAAATCTTCCAAACACTTTTTATTTGTCAAATGCATTGGATTCTATTAACAAAATAGACAAGTGTAATGGCGCCTTGAAGGAAAGTTCCACCAGTCTAAATCTTGTTTTCTTGTCTACCCATATATTCATACATATATACATATATATATATTAAGAAAAACATAGTTATATTACTCTCTTGTTATATCACTTCTGGGATTTCCTTATATACCCATGTATTATTATGACTCCTAGATACTTTACAGTTAATACATACAAAATTTCTTATTGATTAGTTTAATTTGTACATGACAGATGTATATACAGTCTGATTCAGACCAAATAAATCAGTCAACAGTGAATCATCAAATCTAATCCAATCACACGTATAGGATTTTTCAACATACTTGTATTCATATATGACTTACTAATTTTTCCATTTGCATGACAGGTAGTAATCTATCCAGCAACAGCCTGTAAATTTCTTCTACCTGGGGATGAGATTTGTCACCCACAAAGAAGACATGATTCTTCCCTTTCACTTCTATTTGGCTAAAACCAGCAACTTTCCTAACTTCCCTCTCCTTCATCAGTCTCCTCACTTCCGCAAATTCATCCCACTTCCCACACGCTGCATACGCATTAGCCAATAGCACATACCCTCCGGAGCTTGCTGGCTCGATCTCTATTAGCTTCTCTCCAACTTGGCTTGCAAGTTTTGCATTGCCATGTAACCTACAAGCACCAAGCAATGCGCCTAAAACAGCACCATCGCACTCAGCCGAAGGCATTGTGGTAATGATTCTCATGGCCTCATTCACTTGTCCTGCTCGACCTAGGATGTCCACAAGGCAGGAGTAATGCTCAGCCCTTGGCTGCAAATCATAAGCACTACTCATCGAATTGAATAAACATTGACCTTTTGTGACAAGACCAGAATGACTACAAGCTGACAAGATTCCTACGAATGTGATCTCGTCCGGCTTCAAACCTGATTTTAACATTTGTGTAAAGACAGTTAATGCTTCGTACCCGAATCCATGAATGGAACAAGCTAACATCATAGCAGTCCACGATACAACATCCTTAAACTCAATTCGCTCAAAAACATGCTTAGCAGCATTAACATCCCCACCTCTGGAATACATAGTAACAAGAGAATTCATAAGCAATGTGTCATGCTCAAGCCCAAGAAAAATAACTAAGGCATGAACTTCAACGATCTCAACAATGCCTTCGCAGGATGTCAAAACACTAGTGATGGTAGTCTCATTAGGCCTCAAACCAGATCGAAGCATGAATGTTAAATGCCTCAAAGCTTCACCCCCGGATCCATGTCGTGCATACCCATCAATCATAACATTCCAAGTCACAACATTCCTCTCTTGCATTGATTCAAAGAGCACCTTAGCTTCATGAATTGCACCTTCATCTACATATGCCGTGATCATAGCATTCCAAGCAGCTATATCTTTATCCACCATCCGATCAAAGTAATTCCTGGCATGTTTAGTCATCCCATTTCCTGCCAAACCAGTCACCATTGTAGTCCAGGAAACTGCATTTCTGCGAGGCATCAAATCGAAGAGTTGAACAGCTTCCCCTACTCTGTTAGCATCAAGACAACCCGAGATCATTATGTTCCAAGTATATAAATTCCTTTGAGGCATAACTTTGAAGAGCTTAACCGCCTCATTGATTTGATCATTCTCAATGCAACACTTAATCATTGCCGTCCATGCAACAACATTTTTCTCAGGTATTTGATCAAACACATGGAGAGCTTCATCAATCAAACCATTCCGAGCGTACCCTACAACTACAGCAGTCCACGAGACCACGTTCTTGACAGGCATCTGATCAAACAGCCGACGAGCTTCATCAACATTTCCTAATCTGAAGTACCCAGAAATTAAACTGGTCCAGGAGAAGACATTTCTCTGGGTCATACTATCAAATATACAACGAGCTTCTTCCGTACGACCAGCCTTCATATACCCATCAATCATGGCAGATTCCACCACAACATTTGTAACGGGACTTGCCCAAAAGAGCTTCTCGGCTTCGTGAAGACAATTGTTCTTGAGATAAACAGTGATCATTGAAGCACAAGAAACATTATCTCGTTGAGGCATTTCATCGAACAGTTTCCGTGCTTCCTTGACTCTGCCATGGCGGCCTAAATCTCGTATCTTGATATTAGATTCGTAAATATCGAAAATCGAAAGAATAGGACGTTTTGAGTTCATGATGGAGCTACTTGCTTCTGCTTCATCCATGCAATGGTGCCCGTGTGAGTTTTTCTTCGGCTTTGAAGCCGAGATCTGTTCACGCACATGGTCTTGAGCTGCATGAAATTCACACTTCACCCATTTCACATTTTCTTTTTAGATTAAGATATGGTGCAATAAAACCAAACAGAACTTGAGGTTTGTAGAATTAAGACCAAACAAATCGGAAAAGAAAAAGAAGCAGAAGAAATGAAGGGGGAGACAGATGCTTACAACATGAAGACAGGTCCAGGAGAAGGAGCTGCGCGCAGCCATGGCTGCCATTTTTATAGCTGCCCCTCGCAGCTTTGAACACTCTGCTCCACTCCACATGGCGGGTTAACTAATTGAAAACTGGTATTCTACTGTGTGTCATATAGACAATTACAGAGACGGAGGGGCCAGTCCGGCCCGTTCCGTGCACTCTTCCAAGCGGGTCAAACTGTGCTCGACCATCACAATTGCCCATTGTGGTATAGTGGGCTAAGCCCGTTGATCGTCTATTGACCACGTCGAACTGCAACTAAGTCTAAAGAAGACCGAAATTGACGAATTTCGAAGTCCTCTCCTGTTTAACCCACGAAGTATGGTCCACGAGACGAGACTCGTGACGCAAAATGCGCTTTCCAAATACGGGTTGCAATTACTTGATCAAAATATGATCGTACAAGGGTCACCTGATTTTTTATTTATCTTCCTTCACCGAGATGTTATAATTTATTATCAACAATGATATTTTCCTGTAACAAAATACTTATTAGCATCCCAAACAAGAACTGGAAGCCATGAATCTTGAACTTTGAAGTTAGTCAAGCAACAGAATCGGTGATCGAGCACCAAGTTTTCGTTGGTGGAAACTTTGTTGATTTCGGCTAGTAGTGAAGGATAAAGGAGGGATTTTGGGAGAGGATGAGATTGGTGTCAATGGTGGAAATTGCTCCGAGGAGCAGCTATGGTGGTGGATCTTGTCAGCCAGATTGCTTCCCTGTGAACTCGAAAAGAAAGTTGTTAAGAAGACATACAGCTTTCAACATAAAAACACCATAGCTTTCTGCAATCTGCAAGCTTAGGTAGTTCTTGTTTATTATATATACATGACTAGCAATCATGGGGTAATTTTGGAAGAAGGGGAAAGAAAAGAAACCAGATATACAATTCAATATTTGCACTTGAATTTTCTTTCAATTTCTTGTCTACTTTAAGGAAGGATTACAGGGCTTCTTTTTCTTTTTCTTGTACTTGTTCTTCCTCTTCAGAGGTAAGGAAAATACAAGGACATTTTTACAGTTCTTAAATTTATAAATTTCTTGAATTTAAGTACAACTTGACGAAATGTAATGTACAATAGATCTTCCCGACCCTGATTTATCAGTGTGTAGTAGAAGACGTTAACACGAGTCTTGCTCCATTTAACCCTTCAAAAGAGAAAAAAAGAGCAGCAACACTCAGCAAAAGTTAAAAGTGAATAAGCAAAAAAATATCTAGGAAGATGAAGATGAAGCAGATGTATCAACAGATTCAGAGTTCCGAGAATTTGTCAGCTAGACATGAACTACGTATTTCACAACATAATAACCGGTTAATCCTATACAAGAAGCTGTATATCTATACATCAACTGCTACATTAAAACGGTCCAAAGCAAGTACTTTTTACACCAGATAATAATGAATGCATTAAGTCTAAATCCCGGAATTGAGTTCAATATCAGACAGGTTAAAAGTGATGTTTATTGTTTAAGTTTAGAATTACTTCCGGGTCGTGCAAAACCTTCCAATATACTCAGATTAGTCATGTATTCGGGTTGAATAAGTGAATCGGTTATCACAACAACAGAAAGAAAGTATTAGAGGGCAAGGCTCTATTCATAGATGTGGATCTCAGACCTATGAATGGAGATATTCTCGAAACTCACAAAGACAAAAGGAAGTGAGTTAGACAAAAAGAGAAGTAACTTGGATAAAAAAAGAAGTAACTTGGACAAAAAGAAACGAAGTGACTTAGACAAATCTTTTTTGTCAATAACCTCAGACCAATCAATCGAATATTGATTAATAAGTCGATTTGCTTTATAAAAAGAAAATATCAATGAACTTCTATGAAATGGTTTCACGGGATTCAGCCAATTGTTTTGATCGTGGGATATCATTGAGAAATAGGAATCCCTGTTATCAAAAGATTTCCTACGATTCTTTCTAGTATGGAATGAGTCAATCATCCACTTTGGTATCTTATTGAACAAAAATGGTGATATTGTTCCTCCATTGATCAAGAATTTCGATTTTTGAGAAGTATTATGATCATCCAATAAAGTAAGAAGATGAAGAGACGGAAGAAACATTGGTCTTACCTGTCTTCTCCTCCTGCTTTGTAAGTAACAAGATTGAGCCACAATATAGCACGGCAAAAGAAAGACAGTGAACTGAAGAAGTGAGATCTGAATCTGCAATTCCAAAATTTCAATTAGTCTTTAAACAGGAGAGGAATAACAAATGCTCACCCAAGACCCATTACCAAAGCTGTTTATTCGCTTAAGTTTTTAAGATTGATTACCAGCCTAAGACATAACTTCCGAGAAACATTAGATGCATGTTGATTCTACTTACTCGGGAGAATGTTTAAGAATATTAAAGATTCTACTTACTCGGAAGAATGTTGAAGATTCTTGCACCAAACCTGAATCTCTTGTGACCATAAGAGCTTGGTGTAGAAGCAAAACCATCAGCAACTGGACCATAATTCAAAGTTTTGGAAGATATAAGTAATAACCTTTGAACCACTAGGAGGGGCAATTGTGAATAACAAGAACAAAAAGAAAAGCTGTTTTAGAGTATACATTACTTACAATGAAAGCAACAGAGCGGAGACAGGCAATGCTACCAGTTGTTGCACCAGCATAATCCTCATATTCTGACTGTAAATATTGACGTTCAGAAGCAGCAGCTAAAACTATAAGATGAGAATCCCGGAGATTCATGTGTGGGCCCCATGCTTGGCTAATACAACAGGAAAATTGTGAAGCGTGAAAAGTTAGTATAAACCTATGAATATAATGTAAACTGCTTTAAAAGGTATTCAAGGCAATTCAGGTAGCATGATTGATCCAGGAACTGATGAACAGATATTGGATCCTTATGCACACTATGCCTATACAAATATGCAGGAACTGATGACCAGATATTGTACTAAAGAAAGAACATGACCTTCCAAAAATCCCGAGAACTTACCTAATATCAATTGCTAGAACATCAGGACTGCTCCTCTGTGGGGGGAGAGAATAATTTGGTGAAAAGATCTATTGGAAAGATCAACAGATAAACATTCGTTACTCATTGATCATATTATTTTCATTTTCGAGGATTCTAGGGTTGAATATTTCGAAATTAGATGCAAGGAAAGTCATAAAACCTTGTTGCAGATTTCACATGTTATGTCACCTTTCTTGTTGCACCATCTCTGGATACACTTCCTATGCGCAAACTGCAAACAAATATGCTAATATTAAGAGAAGGATTTTGAATATCTTAAAAAGTTACTGCATGCCCGGCATGATCTTCAGCACTCTAGATGAAAAGCATAGACTGAATTATTATACTACCACACATGATTTTTTTTTTTTGAAATAAACAATATTATTGAGAAAGGCACCTAAGAGGTGACAACCTGCATACAACATATTTATATATTAATCAGCAAGTCAATAAGGTTCTCCAAATCCTCCATAGAGTATAAACTATGACCCAATAACAAAAAACCAAGGGTCCAGAACCATAAACTATCCCACATGATAACATAATAAGTATATTGAGAAGCAGCAAAAAAAGATAATAAATCATACAAATTCAGAAAGAAAACACTAAATTCAGAGATTATACAAGAGCACAAATTGCAGCCTACAGTAAAAACCTTATGTAGAAGAATAGCATCAACGATACTACTACGACGCAAGGGCCCTCTATATAAGGGCTCAAGGTCAAAAGTTTTGTTTCGAAAATTCTTGAGCAAATGAAATATATATTTCTTGGTCCATTAAACAAAAAGAATAATAAATTGAAAACCTTCTCAAAAACTTTTTTCAATCTATAAGCACCATAACAAAACCGTTTGTTGCTCTAAACCCAGTTCTTGATCTTCACAAATCTAACAGCTTTCCTTGCATCAAATGGCTGCACAAATTTTTGTTCCAAGGAATATTTCCATTTTCAATAATAGTTATTATTTTAATAAAAAGGATTTTATCTTCAACTGCATAATCTAAATGTTTATGATTTTGACAGTGTTGAAGGCATATTCCAATTCTTTTGCAGAAAATTGAAAGAAAATAGTAGATATATATATATATATATACACAACAATTTCCACATATCCTTATGGCATTCATTAAAGCCCTGTCTCTCAACTGAACCGAAAAAAAAAAAAAAAAAAGCAGGAAAATCTAAAACAATAAATTACTAATGAAGTTGAAACTTCTCTATATTTAGTGGCAAAAGAGAAAAATATACAAAATCCATATCTTAATGTCATAATCTGAAGTGATATGATTTTCAGAACATTCAAATTCTCAAAATCTATTCCTCTTCCATCCTTCAAATTCAAAGCTTCTATCTTTTCTTTCAACCTTATTATAAAAAAAAAAACCATTTTTTTATTTTTTCTTAATCTGTACTTGGAAAAATCAAAGAGAGAGAGAGAGAGAGAGAGAGTCAAACAAAAAAATGTAGACACAAACAAGCATGAAAAGACTCAATAAATGCACACAACCACAAGACCCACAAGGCAGTGGCGCACTTGCCAATCCATAATAAAATAACCCTTAAAATATACCAAACCATTTATTTTGTTAACAACTCCATAAAAAATCAAACCAGTATCCAACAAAATCCTTTTAAAAAAACCCATTGAGGAACCAAGGAGTTCATATTATAAGTTTGCTTAACAAAATGGATAAAAACTCAAATGATGAACCCAACAAATTACTAAAGAAGATCAGTAGTAGATTCTCAGAGAAAACCCCACCTTTCCTTTTCCAAAAATTAAAGCTTTAACTGAGTTTTTGACCTAGAAAATTTTGTAGCAGAGAAGGAGAAGTACCCTCCATTGCAAGGGCTTACCAAAACCCAAAAAGAGGAGAGAAAAAGCAAAAGCCAAAATATAAAAATGGAAGTTCAAAAAATTAAACACTAACCAAAATTAATTCTATTAATCAACAAAGAATCATAAACAGGTAACAAAAAAAAACATAATCAGAGCATGAGAAAACAGTGAAAAAGGGAAAAAGTTGGAATTTTGAAGGAAAACCCAGAAGAGAAAATACCTTGAGAGAGCCATTACAGGCACAAGGAGCCTCCATTTCATGGACCTCGTCTTCTTCTTGGCATATCCTACATTCCACCATTTCCTTCACCTTCTTTGCAGAACAAGACGAACCTTCTCCTCCATTACTGTTCTCCACAACCAAAACGGCACCGTTTTCCTTTTTGGGTTCACCGTCAAAGCATGTCTGTCTCTCGAATTCTTCGCTTTCTCTTCCGCCATTGACAGACTCAAAGCAAGCTGATGTTATCAAGCGATCCACGCACACCATGAAATCGTCCACCATTTTCACTCTCTCTTTCCCTGTATGTATATATATATATATGTAGTTGTTTATATATACGTGTGTCAGTGTAGTTTTTCTAAGAAGAAGCAGAGCAGAGGAGGAACATTATAGAGAAAAAAGAGGAAATGGCCATGGGAGAGCTTGAAAAAGGAGAGACCTTTCTTTAGCGGAATTTACACAAGGAGACCTCCTTTTATGTATATTTACATAACTACCCCTCCGATTAGGCTGTTGTTCCAATCTTGTCCCAACAAATTAAGCAAATTTTCTTTTTTCTGAATTGCAGATATATATATATATATATATATATATATATATTCTATTTTCTTTAATTCTTATCAATTTACTACCTAAATTTTAAAATAATAATCAACTTATTTCTCAAAAATTAAAATTTTCACTGTAATAAATAACACATTCTATTATATGTATATGTGTATATATTGCCGGCACATAATTTTCTAAAACATTTTGGATAAGCACAAATCCTCTTCTATAATTTTTCATTTAGATCATCATAAAAGTGTTTATCCGTTTCAAAATAGTAATTAAAGTCATAATTATTACTATTTAAATAATTAATTAGTCAGCAAAACATTGTATTAAGACATAATTAATGCATTCTTACTTGCATAATTAGGATATATTTTGTCATAATTTTATATGTCAAATTATCATTTAGATTAGAATTTGACCATATAATTTTAGAAAAAAATTAAATGTATAAAATATTTTATTCCAATATTTATAATTAAATTATTGTTGGCATAAGTTTTTTTTTTTCTTTTGGGTATTATAATATTTATTAGTAGAATTTTATACATCTATATATATATATGTAATTTTCTCATTTTCTCGGAAACTTCATAAATAAGTTGCAATGTTTTCTCGGGAAAATATATTTATCAATGGATAAGACCCAATGAGCTGTCTCATCTAAAAGTGTTCATAATTCAATTAATTAATTTCTAATTTTAGCATATATTATAAATTAATTAAACCTCAATTATTGGAATTTCGTGTTGTTTTATTTTTTATTTTTTATTTTTTATTTTTAAAATTTCCTCACCCTCCTAATTTTTTATTACAAAAATCTTGGTATCCCCATTAATTTATTATTAATCTACTATTTCCAAATTCAACACTTTAAAAAAAAAAATTCAAACTTAATAATTAATTTAATTAGAAAATTAATAACAATAAATTGTTTTTTAATTTAATAAATTTGTTTTTTTTAATTTTTTAAAAATATTTAAAATGGGTTTAATGAATTTTATTATTTTCATTATGTAATTTGAGTATTAATTTAATAATTTGATTTTAAAAATAATAATAATAATAATTAGTCTCATTTTTCAATGAATATAGTTGGCACCCACCATTACCACAATTGAATAATTGTTTTGTTTGGTTAGAAAATTTGTGATTGTCATAAAAACCAGTGGACCTGCTCCTCATCAAACTAATTTTACCTTTTTAAAATATAAACAATGCCAAACAAGACCTAAGAGAGAAGGCTACCTAAAGTAACCCAAAAGGGGAAAATTAAAGAAATAAACATAAATTTTAAGGTCTTGTTTGGATGTTTACCTAATGAATGTCTTTTTTTTTTTTTAATATAAGAAAATGACATTCATCTTTTTTGTGCTTCATGCTTACATCTTTCCACTTTGATCAAAGTGAATTATTACTTGGATCTCACCTTGTTCCTACTTCTTTAATTTTTTTTTTATATTACCATAATTTTGTTTGTATTATAAATAAAGTATTTTTATTTAATAAAATTCAAATAATATAATACGATAATATTACGAATAAAGTATATTTATAATATAAGAAACTATATAAATTAAATATATATATTTTATTTATTATATCTCATGTTACTTTATAGGTGAGCATCTTTTTTAAGATCATCTTCGTCGTGAATTAACATATATTTTATAAAACATAACTTTAACGAGAAAGTAATTAGCTTGATAAATTAATTATCATTAACTTGTCCGTATATTTATAATATAAGAAACTATATAAATTAAATATATATATATTATTTATTATATGTCATGTTAGTTTATAGGTAAGCATTTTTTTAAAAATCATTGTCGTCGTTAATTAACATATATTTTATAAAATATAACTTTAATGAGAAAGTAATTCACGTGAATTTAATAAAAACTTAAGTATATTATCAGAGTCGTCTGCAATTATCATTAATAGCTTATGTGCGTACTTGTTATACCAATAGTTATATTAACTATATTTATTTTATAAATTATAAGATCAAATTGATACATACAAAAATTTCATCTCTCACATTGGTTATACATAGAGAAAGACTTATCGACGATAATAAAAAATTTTTTTATTATAAATATACACATTTTATTCATCACGTAGTACGTACATATTCATAATAACTTAACATTATACTAATCCATGATAATATATAATATAATCTAAATTCATAACTTATTGTAAAACTTGAAACGTACTAAACAATTCAGTTAAATATATGTATATTAAAAATAAAATATTTTTAGCATTCGTGAATATTGTATGAAATTCTTTTTGTAAAACCTAATTATGATAAGTTAATGTTTTAGGACCAATTTAAAATTATAATTATTTTATTATTTTTTTATAAGACAATGATTATATTAAATAATTAAAATTAGATTATCCCTCCAAATATGAATATGTTTTTAAAAAACTATTTAAAATATTTAAATATTTTATTCTGGGGTATTATTCTCTTTAATTCATTTTTCAATGCTCAAAACCGTACCATGTAGCACCCGGAAAAAAAAAAAAAAAAAAAAAAAAAAAAAAAGAAGGGGGGGGGGGCCACGTCAGCAGCCACGTCAGCAGGCCCGGTCAGCAGTCCCGGCCAACCGGGGCCTGCCACGTGGCAAGATCGCGTCACTCCAAAAGGAGCCACGTTGGCGATCCGCGTGGGTGCGATCCGACGGCCCAGATCAATCGCGCGATCGGACGGTCCAGATTCAAACGCACGGACGGCCCAGATTCAATCAAAAACGAACGGTCCAGATTAAAACGAAACGAACGGCTGTGATCAAAAGGCAATGGGTTATAAATAGAACCCCCACACCAGACCACAAACCCTAGCCGCCAGCCGCTCGCCGGAGAAGACGAACCAGAGGCCGACCGCCGCCACCCGCCGCCGCACCGGGGAAATTTCCGACCGCCGATCGAGGTAAATTTCATACCCCCGACTCGTTTTTCCCCACTGATTCCTCCTATGGCCAAATCGAAGCCGAAATCCCGGCCAAACGGCCGGAATACGCGGCCGAAGCCCAGCGGCGCCGCCGCGCCCCCTCTCGGTTTTTGCCTCCGACGAGGCCCTTCCCGGCCTCCGTTCGATGCAATTTTTATATCACCGTGATCACCATTCTTTTCTCTACAGGTTGACCGAAGCCAAATCACCAAAACACGAACCTCGCCGGAGGGTCGCCGTACCCGAGAGCGCCGCCGCCGGTAAGCTCCGCTTTTCCGTGATTTTTTTGGCCCCCCGAGGGCCCTAAGGTTGTTTTCTGACAAGGACCGATGCGAGTGTGGCCGAATTCGGCCGAAAACGGCCGAAAACAGCCAACCCGAGGCGACTCGCCGCCGCCAGCGGCGGCGCCGTCGCCGGAGCACGGCGGAGCCGCCGTGCCGGAGTTGCGATTTGGGCCGAAAGAGGCCCTGGGCCTAATTTGGATTTTTTTTGGAACACGTGCAGGTACTGTTAGCGTGTTTCAGTTCCCCGGGAAAAATTCAGGGAAAATTAGGGACAGCCTGCAGGCGCACTGTGAATCGTATTCGGATCCCGAAAACAAGTAAGGACCCCTCACCCTATTTCCTATCACGGTATTAAAGTTCAAAATGATAAAACGGTATTTCTTGAATTAACGCATGTGTGAAATTGCTTAAGGTTGCTAATGGAGCCCGAGTCTAGTGTGATTAATGATTTACTGTTATTTGGCCTGTTTTACACTGTTTTACAGCTTTAAATGCATTATGGGGTTTGATGTGTTCATTTTATAGTTTCGAATGCATATATTACTGTTTTATTAATTATGGGTTGAATGACTGGAGAACTGATACTGTATGTTGTCTGTTCGGCATGAATTACGATTTGCTTGTTTAAATGTGAATTGATGATGCTTATTGAGGAAAAGGAAAATGAAAGATTGTGTAGACTGATAATTGTATGATGGGGTCAGCCTGACTAGATATCCTGGGAGATGGTGGACGGACCGGGTCCGTAGGGAACCCTACCGGGATTGTGGTCTCACATGCCGGACGGGGTATGGAGATCTTATGGTTTTGGCGCCCATACCGGACGGGGTATGGGGACGGCCCGTTTCACCCTCATACCGGACGGGGTATGGGGACGGGCCCGTTTCACCCTCATACCGGACGGGGGTATTGAGGTTTAATGGTT